GGAATTTCTGAGTTGGGGTAATACTGCCAAATTTCAAAGCATAGTACACCAGACAAGGTATCATCACAATAACTTCCATTATGTTAATTTAGTCCAAAGCATAGTACACCAGACAAGGTATCATCACAATAACTTCCATTATGTTAATTTAGTCCAAAGCATAGTACACCAGACAAGGTATCATCACAATAACTTCCATTATGTTAATTTAGTCCAAAGCATAGTACACCAGACAAGGTATCATCACAATAACTTCCATTATGTTAATTTAGTCCAAAACATAGTACACCAGACAAGGTATCATCACAATAACTTCCATTATGTTAATTTAGTCCAAAGCATAGTACACCAGACAAGGTATCATCACAATAACTTCCATTATGTCAATTTAGTCCAAAGCATAGTACACCAGACAAGGTATCATCACAATAACTTCCATTATGTTAATTTAGTCCAAAGCATAGTACACCAGACAAGGTATCATCACAATAACTTCCATTATGTTAATTTAGTCCAAAGGATAGGGTCGTTACAGTAACCATGTACATGGAAATGTAGGAAATGATAAATTAATTATTAATTACCCTTTTCTCAATTCTGTTATAAATCCTTCAATTCGGTCATTTAACTCTGCTGTATGTTCAGAAAGAGGCATAATACAAAGATATCTGTAAAATAAGTTAAATTAGCAAATATCACAAATTTACGGATTTTTTAGGTATTATTTAAGGAATACCCCCCCCCAACCATGTATACCACAAGATCCCAAACAGTTTCACAACATATACAATGTACACAGAGTGATGCAGGTATGTATAGATTCAACTGATCAAAACTGATTGGTATATTCCACCTCGGTGAATATGAATATTATATTATATCAACAGAAAGCACAGGCATTCATTTACACCAATTATAGATACATAAAGCAGTGATGCAGGGTGTTAGCCAGCCCCCAGTCCACCCACCAAATGGTCTGGCAACTTTGATTTTGGACTGGCAACTTTTTCCCATTTTTCTGTTTTTTCCTATTGCTCTTTGATAATTTAACCAAAATATATCCAAAACCATCTACATTTTTATGAAGTTGAATTTTTTTGGACTGGCAGTTGCAAATTCCTGGCTAATAGCCTGCAGTGATGCAAATACCCACCTGTATTTTAGTGTTGTAAGGTTTATTCATGTAACAGGGGAAGAAAGATAGATGGCAAATTTTACTTAGGAGACCAACAGGTAAAAGTTGTCCCAACATATACCTACTTAGGTATCACTTTTCAAAGTAGTGGTAATTTTACAATTGCTATCGATAATCTAGTCAAAAAAGCAATGCGTGCAATAGGTGCATTAAAACAAACACTTAGCCTACACAATTATATAGTTTCGCCAAAAAATGCTATTCAGTTATATCGCAGTACAATCCTGCCCATTTTATTATATGGATCTGAGATATGGGGGGCTTTTACTTTCAAACTTGTTAAACAAAAAATAACGAAATAACTGAAGACAATTTTATACAAAGTCTGTTTAATGACAAAACATACTTTGAACAACTCCACATTAAACTTTGCAAACAGATTTTAGGTGTTAATAATAAGGCCAGCAATGCAGCAACTAGAGCTGAACTTGGTAGCTATCCTCTCATTATTGACATTAGTTCACAAACATTGAAGTATTATGAAAGGCTAAAATCAATTAAACATAATCATCTTCTGGACTGTGCTTTTAATACTGACAATAAAATGAACGGTAATTCATGGACAGCATTTGTTAAAAGATTATTCACATTAACTAAAATTAGCGAAGAATCTAACACTATAGAATTCAAAACCAAATTCAAACAAGTTTACTATAATAAAGTCTGGTTGCCAACGGTATTTAAACCAGAAAAGAATAAGCTACGTACTTTTAACAAGTTTAAACAAAATTTTGAATTTGAACCATATTTAGAACAAATCAAAAATGTGCAACACAGGGTCAGCTTCACTAAGTTTCGCATTTCTTCTCACGCGTTGCCAATTGAAAAACTTAGATATAATAAAACACCTCCAGAGCAAAGGTTTTGTTTTCTATGTAATGAACAGGCTATTGGGGATGAATTTCATGTATTACTCACATGTAAAAATAGTCAGATTGTACAAGCTCGTACTAAATTTGAAGCTGAATTAGCAATTTATGATGATAACATTTGCAAGTTATCAACTCATGAGAAATTCAAGTGCTTGCTAGGCACTAAAGATAGCTTTATTGTCAATTGCTTGGGAAAATTTATTGATTTTATATCTAAGCTTTAGTTTAGTATATTGTTTTATTTGTGTTTTTCTTGACCATTGATTTATTGTATGTTTTTTTCATTCATGCTAAATTTTGTGTCAAATAAAATATCTATCTATCTATCTATCTATCTATCTGTACAGTAGTTTCTTGTTAGCGGCAATGCTGATATATGTCAAATCATCACAATATACATAATTAAAATTAAAATTACTAATTCGATTGCATTTTGAGGATTGACAAAACTTCTGGTACACGAGTGAGCCACTACAGATAGCAATTATTACTCTCATAACATTACAAAAGGAATGAGATTAACCCTGCCACTGATAATTCTATGTGCCAATAAATTAGTAACATATTTTAGACATTTTTAGGTACATTTCTTGATTTTCATTGTTAGTTTTGGATCAAATAAACATAATTCAACATTTCAACAGTTTTGAAAAAAAAATCGAAAAACTTTTGTGGGTTTAAATTTGTGATATTTGATATTAGTGTTTCAGAAGGGTTAAACACTCATTAATTCTCAGACCACATGAATGCGCAGATCTAATTTAACAACTTTAATTAATGGCGCCCTGTCACTGTCTGTTACTGTCTACATACCCCCAATTATCAAATTGTTCACTCCTACTTTTCTTTAACCCCCCCCCCCCCATTGACTCATTGGCTCTTACCTTGTTGTACTGGTTGTTATGATCCACTTATCAAAAAATAGCTCAGCGTATATATGTTATAAAACAGACGTTAAATATAATTCCTATATACTCGACCAACGTCGTACACAGCTGTAAATATCGTAAATGATGCAAACACTACTCAACTAAAGAAATACTGCATTTAGCGGAAGTGAATACTAAGGTCACACAGTTAGCCAATGAGATTTTGCGATTTTGGAGTAGTATAGTTACGAACACTCAAATTTTCAAAATGGCTGCACCCATGAAGGATTTATGTTTTTAGATTTGCGAAGATATTCCCAGATACAACTCAATATATTCCCTTGCATCGAGCGCTAAACGTTACTGATGATGTTAATTGAAATATAGACATCGTCTGAGAATTATATCCGGTGCATTTTATTTTTCGTGCACCTGTCTTGTTTTATTTGTCCTGTCTTGTTTTATTTGCATCGATCGCGTTCACGTGAACCGTCGCCGTCGGATGGAATTCAGGGAATGTTACTATAACTGAATTGAGATCGGCGAAATTGAATCGGTACTCTTTCTTGTATTTGTGACAATGTCGTCAGTTAGAAACTATTGTTCTGTGCTGGTTGTGTCCAAACGATTTTGCCATCACTACAGGACGTGTACGTCTCGTATGTATCGCCCAGCAATGGTGTTACCACCGGGATCCAAGCAAAGTGTTCTGTCTTGTAAAAGTCAAAGGGTAAGTAAACACAAGTAAAACCTTAACATTGAGTGCATATTTTCTTCAAATTTCGAGTAGTGACACAGTCTTGTTTAGAAATAGTGTGTTTGAGTAAATCCATGGTGCTAAAAAAAAAGATTTATAAACTCCATACATAAATTATACACAGATTATTTCCTAAATACGACTAGTACGACTACCAGTGATAATCGAGGTGATAATGTCCGGATTCAATCCAATCATAGAATCGGTGTCATTAGAGTGAAATTTAAGGTTTCAGGTCTCATACCACTAATTAGATTTCCACAGCATTTGGCTTAATACAGAGAGGTTTCATAGATACAAAAATTCTGCTGAAACTTCTACAAAATAGTTGTAAACGAATCATACAGATTTCTCGGCTTATCCAAGCTTCCACAGAAATAAAGAAATAATAAACACACAAAGCTGACATAACTATTAATTTATAAGTAGTCCCTCACACATTGCGTTTTGTCAGAAAGAAAAGCCAGTTGGCTAACAACAACCATTTAATCGTTTGAGTACCTAATTATTTTCCAACTCAAAATGGGTTGAATTTGTTAACATTTTCTGAGCAGGTTTACTTTTGTCTCTGATATTGACGCATGTTATTTCTATTTTCTGTGTTCATACAGCTGATGATGGAACATGGCTTGATCAGACAATCCAGTCCTGGAGTATATCATTTGTTACCTTTAGCACTGAGATCTCTGGAGAAATTAATCAGACTTATTGATGAAGAAATGCACAGCATTGGAGGAACTAAAATATCCATGCCTTGCATGACCACATCTGAACTCTGGAAAGCTACAAGTAAGAGTCTAGAGTTTCATTTGCGATTTACTCCAAAAGTTTTTTTGCCTTTCTGTACCTGTACCTCACATTGTTTCTCAGGTTTTCTTTCACCTATTACCGGTATAATTTTTTATCAATCATTTAATTTGAAATTTCCATGCAATTTAAAAAAAAAATATTTCTTGAGATTTTTTTTTAAGTTTACAAATTGTTGATTTGGATCACCATGGTGATAAATACAACATTGTAATCATTCATGACGTTTCTTAGAACTGGAGTTGCTGTAACATGTTAAGATCACATTTTTTATTTTGATGCAGTGCATATAGTCCCCCTTTCCCTCTGTAAACGGTTTTAATCTCACAAGAGATAAATTTGTAGCCATGATCATTTCACTGGGTTGAGAAGTTGCATTAATTTTCATGGAATACAGTATATTGTCATGGGAACTCACAAATAATAAAAATACTGAAAATTGCTGACAACAACAAATTTTAAAAAAACTACCATTTCCCTATGACACATGTACCTGTCTAATCCGAACAGTCTAATCCCATATTGATCAGTTTCTCAATTTTCCAGGGTTCAATGCATACCATTTGCTCTGTTATCATTTCCTCAATATTACAGATAGATGGGAAACCAATGGTCCAGAATTATTCAAAGTAGAAGACAGACATGGTATCCAGTACTGCCTAGGACCTGTAAGTGTACAGAATTGTCAAAATGTGTGGTTCAGATATAGGTAGATAAAAATATACATGTGCATGTATGGTGACATGAGAAGCAGATTCTTCTGATCCTGGGCAGTAATGAGAAAATACTGTAAAATGACTAATTTTCATTGGGTTTAAATTTCACTGATTTACCATTTCAGGCATATTCAGTGGGTTTTAAATTCACGGTTTTATCATTTAGATAATGTATTCTATGCGAAATTTTACATATTCACTGGGTTTTAATTTAGCGCATTTTCCAGTCAGCGAAATAAGCTAAATTAAAACCCAGTGAATAATTAACCCTTTTACAGTAGAAATGCAACTGAGTGAGTCTGTGAAAAAAATTGTCAGGATTCGTCTCAGGTTTTGTTTTTGTGTCCTGTAGGTATGTTTTTGCCACCTAGAATAAAACCACATGTCCAGTAACCTGATTCATGGATTTGTTTTGCAATAATGAATCATATTTGTCTGTACATTACCAAAGAGCGTTATGTGATACTATTGGTCAGGGCATACCAATATTATATTTGATTTTGATAGACATGTGCACAGGAATTTGAATTTCATATCTTCACAAAATATGCGTGCATAATTTGCTCTTAATTGCATACCTCCATGTATGGTTATGCATGTTGCACATACCCTTACAGAATCCATTAGTCAATACATTTCCATGACTAAATCAAAATTAATGTGTAAGTTGATGAAAAAAAAATATTTATTCTTTTTTGAATGCCACAACCTTTCCCGCCAAAGCATTTCACCCATTTAATTTCTTTTTCTATACTTTTTTACTTAATTTTGAATTGAATTTCTCCTTATATGGAAGTTGTTACAAAAAGTGACAAAAGTTGACTTTCATATTCAACAGGTTGACACATCAACTACCATTACTCTAATTACACTATTTCTGTCTATAGACTCATGAAGAAGCTGTGACTGATTTGATCGCATCTCAGGGTAGATTATCTCACAAACAGCTACCTCTTCGAATATATCAGGTAAGACTACGGTACTGTTTAAATTGACCTAACCTTGGCTCAATCTCATTACCTATTCAGAGTTATGCAGTCATCACACACTATGGGATGTCATCCCGGGGGGGGGGGGGGGGGGGCACTGGCCTTTCACTTTGGTAGGGGTGTGCGGCCGGGAAATAAAACCCCGACCCCATCATAGACCATTTTCACTTAAAAACCATACCCCATTATAGACCAAATAGTGATTTTGTATATCCCATCAGAGACCAAATTGTCATTAAATTTATTCAGTTATAGGTTGAATTTTCTCATCATCCAGACTCATCAATCTGAATGAATGATCAATCCAAGGGAAATAAGAACAAATAGAGTGCACTTACTTTTTAACACACAGCATTTTAATAGTATTTGATTCACAAAAAAGTTG